GAGCTGAAATCTAGAGCCAAACACTTAATTGAGCCACCAAGGTATCCCTTTATCCTATTCTTTTAAAACATAAATATACATTTATAATAAATGTGATAGGACATAAGAAGTCTCAGCTAATGCAAAAGAGTATTACATAGAGGCACCTGTGTGTCTGACTCTTGATTTTGTCTAAGGTCATGATTTCATGGTTCAGGAGTTTGAGCCCTGATGTCAGGCTCCATGCTTAGAGCCTGCTTGGGACTGATTCTCTCTCTCTCTCTCTCTCTCTGCCCCTATTCTGCTTGCACTCTTTGTCTCTCTCAAAAATAAATAAACATTTTTTTAAAAAGAGAGAGAAAAAGAAATACAGTTGCTTCCATTAAAAAAAAAAAGTATTATATAAACTGCAATCTCTGATTATAACTGAAATCTATTAGAAAATAATAGATTTTTTAGGGGCACCTTGGTGGCTCAGTCGGTTAAGCATCCAACTTCGGCTCAGGTCATGATCTCACAGTTTGTGGGTTCGAGCCCTACGTTGGGCTCTGTGCTGACAGCCAGAATCTGTTTCAGATTCTGTGTCTCCCTCTCTCTCTGCCCCTCCCCTGCTCACGCTCTCTCTCTCTCTCTCAGAAATAAATTTAAGAAATTTAAAAAAAGATAAGAAAATAATAGATTTTTAAAAATAGCCATATGGAAATTTAAAAATACATTTCTAAGTAAGTTTGGGTAAAAAAGAAATCAGGTGGGGACTAAAAAAAACTTTAGTACTGAAAAACAGAAATTCAACTTAAAATCTTGAGATGTAAAGGGGGACTTAGAAGGAAATTTATGGTCTTAAATGATTATTTTAAGAGAATGGCTAAAAAATTAATAACCTCTATAACTCTAAAGATTACAGTGGGGAGGGAGGGGGAGTAGAAGAAGAAAAGCAAACAAAGGAAGGTAGTATAAAGATGAGAACAAAATTAAGCAGAATAAAGATAAACAGAATTGACTAATGCAATTCAAACATTAATACTTTAAATAGAGGAATTCTGGGTGCACCTGGGTGTCTTAGTCATTAGATGTCTGACTCTTGATTTCAGCTCATGATTTGTGAGATCGAGACTGACCTCAGGCTGTGTGCTAACAGTATGACCTGCTTGGGATTCTGTCTCCCTGCCCTTCCCCTGCTTGTGCTCTCTATGTCAAATAAACTTCAAAATACATACACATATATATACAAAAAGGAATTATACATTTTAAACTAGTGTCATGTCAATTATACCTCAAAAATTTTAAGAAAAATTAAATGAAAATTATCTTTAAAATTAATTAAGAAAGAGGGTAAAAAATTAAACCATATTCACAATGAAAATGAACTATGGATAGGGTATATATACCCCAAGCTAAGAGAATACATAAACAACTTTATGCCAAACAATGGAAAAATTAAGTAAAATTAGTATTCCCAGAAAAGTCAGTAACCCAAAATGACTCTATAAGAAATAGAAAATGTGAATAGTTCCATAACTATTAAAGAACTGAATCAACATTTTAGATTTTCTCACATAGAAAACACTGGCCCAGAGGCACCTGGGTGGCTCAGTTGGTTAAATGACCAACTTCGGCTCAGGTCATGATCACACTATTCGTAGGTTTGAGCCCCACATTGGACTCAGGGCTGGCAGCTCAGAGCTTGGGGCCTGCTTCAGATTCTGTGCCTCCCTCTCTCTCTCTGCCCCTCCCTTGCTAGCACTCTGTGTCTCTCTTTCTCTCTCAAAAAAACCCCACATTTTAAAAAATTTTAAAAAGAGAAAGAAAACACAGGCCCAAACCGGCTTCACAGGCTAGTATAACCAAAGATTTAAGGAATGAATAATTACCATTTTACACACTCAGAGAAGCGAAAAAAAGAAACACGCCTACCATTCATTTTAGTAGTCTCATCTATTCAAAAGCAGATAGGATAGTACATAAATTCCAAGCCAATCTCATTCCTAACCACAGATGGAAAAATCCTGAAAGAAATAATGCCAGCAAAATTCATGTGCAAAAAAGATCATGAGCAGATTAAGTTTAATCCAAGATTGGTTCAACATTTTAAAAATCTATTAATGTAATTTACCACATTAAGAGATTGAAGGAGAAAAATACATTATACATACACAATTATTTCAGTGAATATAGATAACATGTGTGATAAAAGTCAATGCCAGTGCCATTCATGATAAAAAAAATTCTTAGCAAAATAAGAATGAAAGGGGATACTTTCTTAACCTGAAGGATTATTACAAAAAGTTACAGAACACATCATATTCAATGGTGAAATATTAAAAGAAATTTTTTTTTTTTTAATGTTTATTTTTGAGAGTGAGAAACAGAGTGCGAGTGGGAGAGGGACAGAAGGAGGGAGACACAGAATTCGAAGCAGGCTCCAGGCTCTGGGCTGTCAGCACAGAGCCTGATGCGGTGCTCAAACCCACGAATCATGGGATCATAACCTGAGCCGAAGTTGGACACTTACCCAGTTGAACCACCAAGGTACTACTAGTAAAAGCAATTTCTTAGATATCAGGAGGAAACACAACAAAAATGTTAGCTATCATTACTTCTTTAGTAAACATAATGGAAGTTTTAGCAGGCAGAATAAGAAAAAGATTGGAAAAAAGGGGGAAAAGAAAACTGCCTTCATCCAAAGTGGTTATTATTACCTATACAGAAAATCCAGAAATAAAAATCTACACGGTTAGAATTTGAGATTCACATTCTTAAAATTACTTTATGTACATTTATGGAGGACATAAAGACACAAGAGAGCTCTACATACAATATTTAATGAGTTTATCTTTAGGTGGTGGGATTAGGGGAGATTTTATTTTTTTGTTTCACCCTTTTGGTTTTCCCAGTGTTCTGCACTGGATTATTTTATTTTATAAAAGAAAAACAGAATAATGTTACAAGATGTCAAATAAATATGTAATAATCAATTCTATGTCCAAACAAAAATCAATTTTATGTCTATACACTAGCAACAAACAGAAAATGCAATTTAAAATATTTAAAAGCAATACAAAATATAAGGGTATCTAGATTTAAAATACCTTTCTGAACAAAATTATCAAAACTGAAAGAACTAAAAGAATATACAGGAAGATATACCATGTTACTGATTAAGAAGGCTAGATATCATAATGATATAACTTCTTTACAAATTAATCTAACGATATGACAAAGTTTCCATCGAAATCCTCAAAGAGAGGATGTTTTTGGTGAATTTGACAAGCCAGCTCTACAATTCGTATGAAAAAGAAGACAGACACAAACAAGCAAGACATTTCTAAGGAAGAAGAAGTATGTAAAGGAAATTGCTCTATCAGAAAACAAGATTTATTATTAGGCTTTAATAATTGAGCTAGTGTAGCATTTGTACTGGGAAGACCTGGGGAACACAAAGAAAGCTCAGAAGCAGACTTCCCCTGATAACCTGAGATAGAAGTAAAGATAGATAAGTAAAGGAGGGCCCATTTTATTTATTTATTTTTAATTTATTTTTTTCTTAAATAGTTTATTGTCAAGTTGGTTTCCATAAACACCCAGTGCTCATCCCAACAAGTGCCCTCCCCCATGTCCATCACCCCCTTCCCCTCTCCTCCACCCACATCAGGCCTCAGTTTGTTCTCAGCATTCAAGAGTCTCTCATGGTTTGCCTCCTTCCCTCTCCCCAACTATTTTTCCCCTTCTTCTCCCTCATGGTCCGTCATTAGCTTCCTCCTAATCCACGTATACATGCAATCATATGGTATCTGTCCTTTTCTGCCTGACTTATTTCACTCAGCATAACACCCTCAAGGTCCATCCACATTGCTACAAATGGCCAGATTTCATTTTTTCTCATTGCCATGTAGTATCCCATTGTATAAATATACTACATCTTTTTGATCCATTCATCAATTGATGGACACTTAGGCTCTTTCCATGATTTGGCTATTGTTGAGAGTGATGCTATGAATATTGGGGTATGTGTGCCCCTATGCATCAGCACTCCTGCATCCCTTGGGTAAATTCCTAGCAGTGCTACTGCTGGGTCATAGGGGAGTTCTATTGTTAATTTTTTGAGGAACCTCCATACTGTTTTCCAGAGGGGCTGCACCAGTTTACATTCCCACCAACAGTGTAGGAAGGTGCCCATTTCTCCACACCCTGGCCAGCATCTAGAGTCAGGAGGGCCTATTTTAAAATAGTATGATAATTAGTTATCTTGATGGGGAAAAAACGAAAATTTCTCCCTACCTGATATCACATCCTAAAACAAATTTTAGATCTCCTAATTCTACTAGGATAGAGGTGGGAAAACAGGAATGAATGGCTGGTTCTGACTGATGCTAAGGAATGTTTCCTCAGTAGAGATGACCTCTGAGCTGCTCCTTGAAGGATAAAAGGAAGACCCATGTGGGAAATGGACTTTCAGGCTGAGAACACCAAGATCAAAGTCCCAGAAACTCTCAAGAGTGAAAAGCACTTTCTGGGAGTGGATGAACAACCAGCCCAGCTGAACAGGAAAGACAGATAAAGGTAACAATGGATGACTGGTGCTTTCTCATTTTTTTATACCTTTTTCACCACCTTTCTGTCCTTCATCATGGCCAGAACCAGTTATAGTCACAGGAAGGAAACATTATTAGTATGGTCCTTCTAGCCTGATACTAATTAAAAAAACATTCTTATTAACTGCAGCTCAGATATGCAGGAAGACACAAAAACACATTTTAAAGGCTTGAGAGGGGGGCGCCTGGGTGGCTTAGTCGGTTAAGCGTCCGACTTTCGCTTAGGTCATTATCTCGCAGTTCGTGGGTTCGAGCCCCGTGTCGGGCTCTGTGCTGACTGCCAGCTCAGAGCCTGGAGCCTGTTTCAATCTGTGACTCCCTCTCTCTCTGACCCTCCCCTGCTCACACTGTCTCTCTCTCTCTCCTAGAAATAAATAAAACATTAAAAAAAATTTAAAAAAAAATAAAGGCTTGAGAGGTTCAAGTTACCTTTTCTTTTTTTTCTTCAGTGTTTTGGTCCTGGTTACTAGCGACTTTGTTGGCCTTGTTATGCACCGTAGGAATGACCTACAACCACCAAAAAAGAAAGGGGAGGGGTAAGAAAAGGGATAAAATATTTAAATGTCACAATCATTACACTTATTTCTTTCAACAGTTAAAATCTCACGTGGCTAAGTCTCTGACTTCATCTAAAAAGTATAGACATGAGAAGTAGAGTTCAAGGCCAACAATACAATTTGAAAAATACTAGCTGGATAACCCCAAATGTGTGTGTGTGTGTGTGTGTGTGTGTGTGTGCAAGTGCATGTGTAACATCAAAGAGCAGGAAGTTCACAAGCTGGTGTAGATCCACAAAGTGAAGTCTTTCTTTTTAAGTCATGATACTGATTGTCATCCCCATATCTCAGTTTGCAAAATACAGTTTTAGGGGCAACTACGTTAATCTCTAGAACATTGGATGCACCATTTATCTGGTAGGTTTACCTTCTTCATCATTGTACTCCAGTCCAAGTATGTTCTCTATCACACTGTGCATACTCAGTAACTATCTCACTGTCACTGTTAGCAGGAAGATGAATTACAAATCTAGTTGCATCCTTGGATAAAAGCTCAGTGAGAGCTGGGATTTAATGATTTATCACTATTATCACTATACAGAGTGCTCAGAAGAGCCTATTACATGCTTGGACTCAATCAATGTTTACACATGAATGAAAGAGCTCCATTTCACAGAAATAATTCTAATTCTCAATGGTGCCAACAGCATGGATAACTTTTGGACTCATTTCTTATAAAATAATCCATGAAACATCTTTAAAAAAACCAAAATTTTTAGTGATTTTTTTTAAAGACTCCACAAATATCTAACACAAATAACTTTGCCATAGAATCTAATAACAAACATCAAGATTGTAAGAAAAAAAAATCTCCTTTCCCAGAAACATAAAGAAACTGCCTGCCTTGGGATAATTTAAAAACCAAACATAACAACAACAACAAAACCCCACCTCTGTCTGGATATAATTTAAGATTCAATTTTCTTCACCTTTAATACAGAGTCTAAAGAAGTAAATTAATTTTGGAATAAAAGAGAAAGACTCAGGAATGTTTCATTTAAATAAAAAACAACAGTAATGACACATCAACATATATATAATGCTTTGTATATGAACAGACACTGTGAGTGCTTCATGTTTATACCTCTATTTAATACACATCACAATCCAAGTCGGTGTTCAAAACTGCTGGGTCTACAGGCACGCATTTTCTGTCCTGAAGCATCTTAAACTAATTTGTCTCCATGACATGTAAGAATACCTATCCACTCTGGACCTACTTTCTCCCATGGGAAAAACCAGCTGAAACTGAACGGCAGAAGCTCTGGGGTGTGACACAAGGTCAGCTGCCACTCATAAGGTTTACTCTTTTTTAAAGAGCACAGAAATATCTCTGTAAACGTATAGTTAGCAATAGCAGAAGTTCACCAAGATGACTGCATCTTTAAGAAAAGTAAAAGACTCCATATTTCTTATGAAGTAAAAACTACATTGATGTTGGATTAATATGTAAATGTACACATCAGAAAAATTTAGGTGCCGTTATGAAATAATGGTATTAGGAAAGTACAAATTGAATAGAGGGAAAAAGAAGGCAACATATGATAATAAACTTACTGAACTAAAGGCATAATCCCCAATTTCTAACAGGTTTGTTTTGGAATGTGTAAAAATAATTTGAGACGCTACTGTGAAATGTAGTTATGTTATTAAGTGGAACAAAATTACCTTGGCCTAAAAACTTTCTATGGAGGAATGCAGTATAAATCATGGGTTCTGATCTCAAATAAGCATTTGCCAAATAAACTTAAGTGGATACACACATTTCTTTCTAGGATGCTGAAAATACAGTTGAGAAATTTAGGAGAAAAAGCTTAAAAAGGTAATGTATTGGTGATGCACCAAATGCATCCATTAAAAGCGCAAATACAAAAAAGTAAACTACAACTCAAAGAATAAAAAGTACAAATATAAACACCACTGTTGAAGTAATGATGTTGGTGACAATCTCCATGTAACTGGGGTAGTTTAGACACAGGGTCTCTGAGGGCACCTGGGTCGCTCAATCGGTTGGGTGTCTGACTTCAGCTCAGGTCATGATCACAGTTCATAGGTTCAGGCCTCATGTTGGGCTCTATGCTGACAAATGGGAGCCTGGAGCCAGCTTTGGGGGGGGGGGAGGGAGGGAGGGAGGGGGAGAGGGGGGGGGAGAGAGAGAGAGAGAGAGAGAGAGAGAGTGTGTGTGTGTGTGTGTGTGTGTCTGCCTGCCCCTCCCTGGCTCATGCTTTCTCTCTGTTTCTCTCAAAAATAAATAAACATTAAAAAAAAATTTTAGACATAGTGTCTTTGATGGTCCAACATTAGGAAATGACTTCTTTGGGGGTTTTGAGGAAAGTCTGTCTCAATGTTTAATGTAAAATGGTCAAAAATGATTAAGCATTTGGCTATATTTTCTATTCCTCTAAGGATGAATACTACTTGCAACAATAAATAATCCAAAGAGAGCTTATTTTGCAAAGAAATGAAACTTGATTCCTTTCATTGCCTCATTCAAACAGGAATCACTTTGTGTTAAAAAATGGATAAGTCATGGACATAATAATTAACACCATCACCCAAATATGCTACCTTGCCTAGAATCAGAGGCAGCTCAAGGCTTGCTGAACCGAATGCACAATGTGGTAGTCTGTTGTGCTGCATCGGGGATGAATGACTTGAGCAGCGCACAATGCAGAGAAGATTTTTTGTTTCTGAGCAGTTGAAAGAAATTTCACTGTTTATGTCATCTAAGCGAAAATTTCCACTTCAGCTCACCAGCGAAGTCTGGATTAAATGCTTGCTTGGCCTTTTTGGTTGACTTTATAACCTACTTAAAAGCTTTGAACATTTTTTGGCAGGGCGTTCACAAGTGGCCACATAAAGGTATAATTTGACTGGCTCATTCTAGCTGAAAACTGTTTCTTTAGAAGTACCATTTGGCAAGGAATAATCTGGCCAATTTTCCTCTTGAACTCAAGTTGCCAGAAATAAAAGTGATTGCCTCCACAACTTTCTCCTATTATAAGAGTTAAAACGTTGATTCCAAAAACTTTGATTCCAAAAACGACTTAAAATTTCAAATTGTATGAAAGTGAAAAGACTTTATTCATTTCACCTCTCTCAATTAGTCTTGACAGTGCAGACGCAGCAGTAGGGCTGGAAGGGATCACACCGCAAAGCAGGGCACCGCAGCACAGAGGTGGGTGAGATCACTGTGTGCAGGGAAGCTGCAAGTATGGTGAAGTGTATCAATGCCCCCACCTCCCCCATCAGGTCAGCCCAACATCTGTGTGCCACACAAATACTACTCTCTGTATGCCTTGACATACAAAAGGTTGAAAAACACTGCATTACTTACTGAAAAGCATTTTTAGAAAACATGCACAATTCTCCTACTGTTCAGAAGTGCCTATGTTTTGAACAGTTGTATTCCGTGAAACAAAGAAAAATAAATGCTTCTTCCAGTAACAGGGCTTATGGGTGATATTTCTGATGCACGTTGCAATACAAAACATATACCCTGCCACTAACATTAGAGTTGTAATTCCATACCAAAAGAGTAATTTATTACAGAAACAAGTGTTACAATTAAATACTGCTAGTATTCAATTTGAATTCTGAATGTCCAAAAGAACATACAACAATGCACCATGTTTGCATGGTTACATGTCTTAATAAATACACAGGACATGACAGTACCTTTAGAATGGTGGTATAGCTAACCCCTTTACGTTCAAAGTATTTTATAAACAAAGTAACTGGCTCAGAAAAGTTAAGTAACTTGTCTCTAAGTCAGCAAAGCTGGTAAACAGGGAAATCAAGGAATTGAAAAGAGCTCTGCTTGACTCCATGGCCTGTGACTTACAGCGCAAACCAGAATGACTCAAGTTTGCCCAAAAGACCAAAATCAAAGAAAAAAGGGGAAAGTGAGGTTAATAACTAAATTTTTATGAAGTAATGCTTTTTCTGGGTAATAGTAGGATCAAAATGAAAACAACGTGGAAAAAATACACAGAGAAAAGCATGGTCCACAGAAATATAGAGAATATTTTTAAACTACTTGAAGATATAACTTAGGCTTACTCTGGGAGTGGATGACAAGCTCTGGACAACGAACACCACGGGGTTTCCTGCATTCTTAATGGCCTCAACTGCTTCTCTGTGCGAGGCATTCTGCAAATCCACTCCAGACACCTGAAACACAGAAGGCATTTTATTTCAATGAGAAAGACTGTCGAGTTCACATATATTATCTAGTTATGAGAACAGCCAGAGTCTAATGAATTAGACCAAAGCTAAAAAAATAAGATTGGTCCCTAATCTTATTTTTGTTGTTGTAGGAGAACATATTTAAGGAAAATAACATTCGACCTTCAAGAAAAGTGAATGAGACAAATATCTTAATAGCAATAGAGAGCCCTGGTTAAATAGGATTATCCAAAATAGGTAGCCTAGTTCGTAACAGAACCTTAAGAAGCTTCTGAGCTGTGGCGTCACCTTTGCCACTAACGCAGCACATAATTCTGAGAGGGGACACGGAAGAGCGGTCTGGACTCTTCTCTCAAATTCAGAAGTATGATATTTTAAGCAAACCGTCCATTATTACAGTTGAGAAGTTGAACGTCTCTCAAATGATGTTCAAAAAGAACTATGAATATATCCATGGGTTCTTTTACCAAAAATGTTCTCTGTTCAGTAAATTGGGATAAGTGTAAATAGCTCCTTATCATCCAGATTTCAGAGGACCAAAAATGCAAACGTCCATAATCTCCAAGGGAATTCTGTATTTGCCATGTTTAAAAAAGAACCAATTTTTCAAACCAGTAATGTAACAAGGCCTTGGTAAATGTTGGGGTGGCTACGGTCAGCAGATAATGAGTTTGTGAATACTTTTTCGCCATAATGAGAAATGTAGGAATGTAGGTGGAGAGGGATGTAAGATCAAGGTTGGCTTTTGTGTTTAAGAGGGGAGGTATTACTGTAATAAACATAAAAGTAGTGGACATGAAATGGATATTACAGAGAGAAGTGACACCTGGAGAAGTAAATCCTTGGACAGTGAAGAGGGAATGACTTCTGCACTACAAGTTAGGCAGGTTGGCTTTAGAAGCACAAATAGTTCATTTGTTGTTACAGACACACTTAGAAAAAAAAAAGATTTGGCACACAGTGGCAGCGAGGGGAATTCCTTTTTGACTGCTTCTATTTTCTCCATGAAATAAGAAAGAAGGACCATAAACTGAGCAGTTTAGGAGGTGTGAAGAGTTGCCTCTGGAAGCAGGAGAAGGAAACAACCAGGGACACATTACAGGATTGCAGGGCAGAACTAAAGACTCACTTGAGAGGGAGCTCATGAATTTTAAAATGAGACCAGACAGCACTGTTATTTTCTCCAGCCATGCCAGAGTCCTGAAATAAGCAGAGTTGCATTTAACTAGGATGTCGTTCCCCCAGACAAGGTCAGTAAAAGCAATGGGGACCCAAGGAGCTGGAAATGATGAGGATGATCATCAGAGCAAAGTGAAGAGAAAACCGAGCACATCTGAAGCTGAGGGACATACATGGCAGCCCTGAAGGTAGGAGACGGGAGCTTGGCATGTGAGAGGGGTCTGAAGGCAGGTGGGTCTAGGGGAGCCTGGTTGCCTCAGTCGGGTGAGTGTCTGACTCTTGATTTTGGCTCAGGTCACACTCCCAGAGTTGTGGGATCGAGCCCTTGTGTCAGCTCTGCATTCAGCATACAGCTTGCTTAAGATTCTCTCTCTCTCTCCCTCTCTCTCTCTGCCTCAGTCCCCTCTTGCTCTCTCTCTCTAAACATAAATAAATAATTTGAAAAAAATTTAAAAATTTAAGAAAATAAAAAAGGCAGGTGAGTCTAAAGCACAGTGCAAACAGAGAGTAAAGAGAGGTGAGGTCAGGTAAGGCAGCTGAAGCCACGCTACACATAAGCCATGGCAGGAACTTTGGCCTTTTATTCTAACAGACATTGGGTGGAAGTTTTTAATGCTCTGTAAAACCTTTTCCCATCTGAACTCAGGATGGATGAGAATAACAGTAAATGAAAATAGAAAACAAATTAAGTGAAGCTTAAAAGCAATCACAACAGCTTGATGAAGCTTCTTACAAATAACCTGTTCCCCACTACATTCTACAATAAATGAAGTAGAAGCTGTAGAAGAACCACTTCATCTTCCAGTAATAATCAGCTTCTGTTTCTCCAACACAGTTTTTTTTAATGTTTTTTAATGTTTATTTAATTTTTGAGAGAGAGAGACAGAGCGTGAACAGAGGAGGGGCAGAGGAAGAGAGAGACACAAAATCCAAAGCAGGCCCCAGGCTCTGAGGCGTTAGCACAGAGCCTGACGCGGGGCTCGAACTCACAGACTGCAAGATCGTGACCTGAGCCAAAGGTGGTCGCTTAACCGACTCAGCCACCCAGGTGCCCCTTCCCAGCACAGATTTCCACAGGGTTAAATGTGAACTGAAGTTGGGAAGTTAGGAGAAAAAATGGAATTCTGTTACAATTAAAAAAAAAAAAAAAACCTCAGTTTTTCTAAGCTTTAAATTTATAACCCAAAGTGTGTCCCATTCATACAAGTAAGACCCATTTCTAAAAATTAACTTAAATTCTAATTTCCCACTTAAACAAATTCTTCTTTATATGGGCCTAAATCCTTTATGCAATTGTGCAATTGCTTCAAGGCAGAAAGAAATTATTATTAAGCTTTGCTTGAAAACAAAAGGGTAATTCTTTTCACAGGAAAAAAGTAAACAAATGACTCCATATGTTTGACAAAATATACATTAAAGTATTAACATTTCACATTTGCTATGAGTTTAAAGAATTTATTAAATCTGAGACACAATAGTGGGTTCTTATTAGTATATAAAAGTGATGATGGATAAGTGAGAGAATACTTTACAGTCAACCTACAGCAGAGAATGATGAGGGGAAAACCCACAAAATTTAAGAAGATAAAACAATAAACAATCCAATTAGGAAGCAGGCAAAAGACAGACACAAACATTTCCCTGAAGAGGACATATGCAGGTGGCATGAAAAGTTCTTTATCATTATCCATTACAGAAACTCAAAACAATGAGATACCACTATCTACAGTTCAGAATGTCCAGAATGAAAAATAGTGACAACACCAAATGTTGGTGAGGATGTAGAAAAACTGGATCCATCATATGCTAATGGTGGGAATGTAAAATGGTACAGCCACTGTGGAAAATAGTTTGACAGTCCTTTCAAAACTAAAAATGGATTTACCATACATCCTAGCAATTGCGTTCTTGGACATTTGTCTCAGACAAGTGAAGACTTATTTTCACTCAGGAACTTGTATACAAATGTTTAGAGAAGTTTTGTTCATAATAATAAGCCAAGAGCTGGAAACTACCCAAGTGGCTTTCAGTGGGTGAATGGTTAAACTGTAGTACCTCTACAGCATGAAATACTATTCAGACACAATAAAAGGGTGTGAACTATGGCTGGACACAACAGATTAAATTAACTTCAATGAAATTATGCTGAGTGAAAAAAGGCAATCTCAAAAAGATACAGAATGCATAATTCCATTTATGTGATAATTGTGAAATAACATGATTAAAGACATGGAGAAACAGATTAGTGATTCCCAGAGGTTGGGGATGGGGAAGGGGCACAGTGAGAGGAATGGCTGTAGAGGGTAGCACAGGGGAGTCTTGTGCTGATGCGGGTGAGTTTCTTGATTGTGGTGGTGGTTATGGAAGCTTCACATATGATCGAACTATAGAGCTACAAAAGCACACACAGTTATACATCAGTGCATGTATAATTGGCAAGACCAAAATAAGACTGTGAATTATGTCACTATCAGTATTTTGGTTTTGCTATTGTACTATCGCCATGTAGCATTAACATTGGGGCAGGCTGAGGGAAGAGTACATGGGACTTCTTTTGTACATTTCCTTAAAATTTCCTTCTCAAGACTCTGTATTTCAAAATACAAAGTTAAGGCAGGGGAGAGACCAAACAAAATACAAAATATGTATTTAAAAATTAAGTTCAACTATGTCCGTAATCAAAATAAGAAATGAATCCATGCCATTTATTTACTAGATCAAGATTATCAATGTAGATTTAAAAAAGCAAAATCCAGTTATGTATTGCTTACAAAACATACAACTAAAACAAAATCACAAATAAGGGTGAAAATGATGGAATGAAAAAAACAAAACAATGTATTATGCAAATACTAAATAAAGGAAATCACACTGGCCCTAGAAGGAGTAATCCTTTGAAAATATATATGCATTCATAATTTCCTAATGGATTCTCACTGCATTCAGAGAAGATGACCTTCCAAGCTCTCTGTGATGTGGCTTCACTTTATCTCTCAGACCTTTCCTCTTCATGCTCCCTTGCTCCCTTTACTTATGTTAGCAATATCAGTCTTCTTTCTGCTCCTTCAACATAGCCAGGCAAACTCCTACCTCAGACCATTCGCCTTTTAGTTCCCTGCCTGGATGTTCCTTCCCCTCTACATTCACATGGCTCCCCATATTCGTCTCAGCATCATCTTCCATAACCAACCTATCAATTGCAATTACCACCTCCATGCCTTATCTTTCTGTTCCATTTCTCTATAGCTATTTATTACTATCTAACACTCTACGTATTACCTATGTATTATCTTCCCCACTATCACGTAAACGCCACAGGAGTAGGAATTTTGCTCATTTTCTTCACCACCACGTCCCCAGTGTGTTTGAAATTTTCTTTTTAGTTTCTAAAACACAAATGTAATCTAATATTTGGATATACAGAAAGGTTTTATACCGTTTTTCTTTCTTTCTTTCTTTCTTTCTTTCTTTCTTTCTCTCTCTCTCTCTCTCTCTCTCTCTCTCTCTCTCTCTCTCTCTCTTTAATCCTCCAATAATGCTGTGGGTTTTGAATTCTCATTTCCATGAGAATAAGGTGGATTAAATAATTTGTCCAAGAACAAATACAAAATAAACAGGGCAATCAAGACTTCAACCCGTGACCTCCAGTGCTCTTTTCACATTACCAGAGCTGAAGCACCACAGCTGAAGTTTAGCTAGTAAAGCGTGTATCACGAACAAGCAGATTCTGGGACAGAAGATATGTCATATGACGTCATCCAACAAACCCAATGCACAAAAATGTGAGATTCAGACCTCAGGACATTCTCATGCCTTGGTGTACCTTTTAAACTCTGCTCTGCAAACCTGACACATGTGAACAATGGACTCACCCCTCCCTCCAATGGAGTCTAGGAGGATGTGTCTGGCTATCCTGCACCTACAACAAATTAATGTAACATTCATTGTATGTCAACTACACCTACCAAAAGAGAATATTAGAAATTTTTTAAATGATGAAAACAATTACAGCTTGTTAAAGACTGGGAGACGCACAACACTCATTGCTTGCCTCCTTCTGCTAAAGTGTAGAATTGTTGGGCGCCTGGGCGGCTCAGTCGGTTAAGCGTCCGACTTCAGCTCAGGTCATGATCTCACGGTTTGTGGGTTCGAACCCCGCATAGGGCTTTGTGCTGACAGCTCAGAGCCTGGAGCCTGTTTCAGATTCTGTGTCTCCCTCTCTCTCTGACCCTCCCCTGTTCACACTGTCTCTCTCTCTCTCTCTCTCAGAAATAAATAAAAAACATTTTTAAAAAATTAAATTGTAGAATTGTTTTTTCAGTCACCTTTAGTATCATTCTATATATTACCACTCTGATGGTAGAATCTCATAAAATTATGCAAACAACATACAAACTAAGGCATGGGAAGAAAATACACCGATTGTACACACATATGCCCCAACAAATGAAGGGAGGTCTTCTGGTTAAATGATTATTATCTTAAAGCAGGTTTCAAATAAAAACAGAATTTTAACATCATTTACCTCAAGTATTTTATCTCCTGTTTTAAGAGCATTTGTTTTTCCCGCTGGACTGTCTTCTAAAACTTGTTTGATAAATATACCTTTAAGTTCCTCTCCATTCTTCAGGCGTTTTATAACAGTTTGTCCACCAACAATACTAATACCAAGGGACACGTTGGGTTCTCTAACAATCTCAACACTGTAAAAAGACAATAAAATTCACTCATGAATAAGTTAATATAATGTGCTGAACTGTCACTAGAAGTGTTCACTTTGTACTAGATCTTGTGACTCGTTTCACAGTCATTTGTGGCACATGTGAAAACCTGAATTTGGAAAAAGATTTCTAATACAATAAATACACCTCTTAATATTCTTAATGTTCACAGCTCCTATCACAATATATTTTCTGTAATTACTTCTTTTAATCTGTATTCATAACATTAGCAAAGAACGGATGAAGAAAGTAATAAATGGGTGAAAAAAAAGTCAAGAAAGTCACATGTATCATTTTGGCAGAAATCACAGACTTTCACAATAAAAGAAATTTGCCGCTGAAAGTCTTGTTACCCAAGTGGCTTTTTCCAGCCAGCAGGTTTAACCTGTGCTTCTTTAAGTGGAGGAAACATTTTGCTTTTAAGGTTGGAAGGTTGTTCTCTTTTCTTCCTACCTCCACATCACTTTATTTTTTCTTGTTGTTTATTTTTATTTATTTTTTGAGAGAGAGAGACAGAGAGAGAGAGAGAGAGAGAGAAATCCCAAGCAGGCTCCACACTGTCAGCGCAGAGCCTGATGCAGGACTCAGAACTCATGGAGATCATGACCTGAGCCAAAATTGGATGTGCAACCACCTGAGCCACCCAGGCACCCCCCATACCACTGTAAAAAATAAAGGATGGAATAAAATTTGCTCCTCCATGGTTATGGATTTTGCTCAAAATGCATAGATGTGACCAATGATTAGCTGAAATTTTTAAAAAGTAGTGCAAAACATAGCTCCCAATGAGGGGCGCCTGAGTGGCTCAGTGGGTTAAGCATCTGACTCTTAGATTTCAGCTCAGATCAGGATTTCATGGTTAGTGGGATGGAGCCTGGGTCTATGCACTAAAAGTGTGGAGCCTGCTTTGGATTCTCTCTGTCCCTCCCCTGCTTGTGGGCGGCTCTCTCAAAATAAAACAAACATTAGAAAAAGAAAAGAAAACAGCTCCCAAGAGTGTTTAAGACAAAATTCAGAAGCTCAAGAAGAAAACAATGTAGGTAGGTATTGTGGAGTTAATAATGCATGCCGAATAGAAAGAGCAATCAAAGAAAGACTTTGAGGGGCGCCTGGGTGGCTTAGTCGGTTAAGCGTCCGACTTTCGCTCAGGTCATGTTCTCATGGTTCGTGGGTTCGAGCCCCACATCGGGCTCTGTACTGACTGCCAGCTCGGAGCCTGGAGCCAATTTCAGAGTCTGTATCTCCCTCTCTCTCTGACACTCCCCTGCTCACGCTGTCTCTCTCTCTCTCTCTCTCTCCTAGAAATAAATTAAAAAATATTAAAAAAAACCCCTAAATTAACTTTTTTTAAAAAAAGGACTTTGATATACTATTAGCTTCAACGAGGCACAAACTTGGGACTAATACAAGAGAAGGAAGACAGAAATAATTTGATACATGACAGAAACTTCAACTAATGTTGTTGTTCATTAAAAAAAAAAAAAAAAAAAACCAAGGGAAGAAATTTTAGTGCATTCAAGGCATTCCTACCTGCCTTCCTCAGTGATGCAGTTATAGAACATCCTTAGTCCATCAGTTACTACCATACATGGACAAGTGTAAATTGTTTTCTCTGCAAGAGTATGATGAAGACTTTCCTAATATTGATTATAGTCATTTTACCCAGGTGAAAATCTCTCAAGAAGAGAAACTGAGACTAAAATTTAGGCCAGCCTAGATGTGAATTGTGACATTTACATAATCTGTAAAGAATGTCTAAATGACACTATAAAATTAAAAAGCAGCTAATTGATTGTGTTCTCCTACTGAGAAAGCCAATGATGTTATCAACATACATTCGCGGTGGACCCCAGTGGCTGAAGTTTGGAGTTTCTTCTCCTTCACCTTCTTCTCTCTCAGGTAACTCGCTGCAGAGAGACAAAGGCAAAATCCACATGCACCTTGTAACATATAGTGCTACTAAAAGTTCTTACAAAGTTTTGAAATTAAACAATCTGTGGTTAAATAGCTCTTAATTTTTAAGGTTTAAAATATTTACATCAACAGTTAACTGTCCGTCCAAAACAAAAACACATGGCTTTTAATGTTCAACAGATACCCACCAGGCACCAGAAAATCATAGAATTATTATAAACACTTTTATTGGTGATACTCTAGATGCTATTTCCTAACAATCTGTGTGTAATTTGTACAACTTCACATTTGTTTCAGATCAATGTACAAAATATTATAACATATATCTTAAAACTTGGTCTTGATTGACCAGCAAAGAAAACACTCCAGCAAAACCAACATACATAGCTGAAATGGCTAAACAGGAAACACAATGAAGGCCTCTTTCTAGATTTGTCATCCTGGCCCTAAATAATTCCTCAGTTATTTGTATCCCATGAATGTTTTGTGTCGTTATCCATCACTTTGCAGTTTGCAGAGAGATTTCCTTCTGTTAGATCTAATTCCAACCTTCCACCTACCACTGCCATACTTTGATCCATCAAGTTATGTTAATATGGAAATGATAACATAAAATGCTAAAGTACAGGGGTGGCTGCAAGGCTCGGTCAGTTAAGTGTCTTTTTTTTAATGTTTATTTATTTTTGAGGGTGGGCAGGGGGACAGAGGGGCAGAGAGAGAGAGAGAGGGTGAGGGACTGAACCTGAAGAAGGCACTAGGCGCCAAGTGTCAGCACAGAGCCCAACACGGGGCTTAAACTCATGACTGTGACCTGAACCGAAGTCAGACCAAGCCACCTAGGTGCCCCAAGCGTCTGACTCTTGATTTTGGCTCAAGTCATGACCTCAGGGTCATGGGATCGAGCTTTGGATTCTCTCTCTCTCTGCCTCTCTCCCCTCCTCAAAACAAATGAACTTAAAATAAAAAGATCTTTTTTTTTTTTTTAATGTTTTATTTATTTTTAGGAGAGAGAGAGAGACAGCGTGAGCAGGGGAGGGTCAGAGAGAGAGGGAGTCACAGACTGAAACAGGCTCCAGGCTCTGAGCTGGCAGTCAGCACAGAGCCCGACGCGGGGCTCGAACCCACGAACTGCGAGATCATGACCTAAGCGAAAGTCGTACGCTTAACCGACTAAGCCACCCAGGCGCCCCTAAAAAGATCTTTTAAAAAGCGCTGAATTACAGAGTACTTATAAAGGCAATGCTATCTAATAGGGTAGAGACATTACCATATATTACCCGGAAGAAGAGTCAGGAGTCCTGAGCTCCAGTCTAACCTGCACCGTGAAGTAGGTATGTGACTGTGGACCACCACCTGACATAACAGGTCTGAAGTATAAATTTTATTACTCTATACAAAAAAGTAGGCACTACCTCTTCCACTACATGTTCTCAAAAACCCTCTGAAGCAGGCACTGTAAGTCATATTATTCTTTTTCCAAGTGAGGAAGTGAGGCTCAAGAAAGGCTCCAACGTAACTACATAGCCTCTCCACAGTATTCAAATCTTTGTTGCAGCCTAAAAGTTTCAATGCTCCATTTTTCTCTGAACTCTCAAATGAGTCCTATAAATAGTAGCAAAACTCCAAACCTACCTGTCTCTCTACAAACAGACTTTCTAGTATAGAATGGTTGAAGGCCGAATGAAAAAGAGAAAACTGAAAGGATCTAGACAATCCAAGTATCAGTTAAGAAATTGGGATCATGAGGGGTCATTAACATCTCACTTATTCCCAGATAGATTTGTTGCCTCAGCCGGTCAATGTTTTCATGATTAAGAGCATCGTAGTATTCAAGGAACAAGAGTTTGGCATATACTTGCCAATTACTTATCTAATGTCCTTTCCTCCTTCCTTACCAACACAACCTCTCCTTTATTCCAGGTGGCACTATGCCCAGCTTTAAAGAAAAACATTTTCTGGACTTCCTTTCAGCTAATGCTAACTGGGTGCTATAGTTCTGATATGGAAATACAAGTCCCCAGAGATTTAGAAAAACTCATTACATGGAGTGAGAATCATCTGGCAGGAGCCTTTCATTCTATGACCTTCCCTTTCTTCTTGCCTAGAAGGCAGAGATGATATTGGCAGTGAAGCATGCATTTTAAAATCATGAAGGAACAGTGACTAAAGCAATGCAGTAAAGACAGCAGAGAAGAAAGGAAGAAGGTGTTTAAGACCCTGGCAGATCACCTTCTTCAGGGGTTTTTAAAGAAAAAAAATTACAGCCCCACTTGGTTAAGTCACCCCAAGTGGAGAGTTTTATAAGCAGCTGAATGCAATCCCTAAAGGATACCCATGATTCTACCGACTTAAGTGAAGTCTTCATATTATCACATTATATTATTCTTTGCACATGTGCATAGATGTTCGCTGAATAGCTGTAATAGCAGACGCTTTCATATTTTGATTACCCTATGTAACCGTAACAAGGGTTAAATGACATGACTGTCATTTAATGGAGGCTTAATAGTCATTTCCTTTACAATTTTTTTCATCTGAATTGGTATCAAAATTTTTCCCCATGTAGTATAATCATTTTTTATTTAACAGCATCTTACTAGCCCATGCTATTGATATAATTTATCTGCCATCCCAGATATGATCTACTTACATTATATTCTGTTGTTCGGAATGTGGACATTACTGCAAGGAATACTGTTATGCTCTATTTTAGAATTCCCCTTTAAATAAATATTAACTGCAGATTAAAAATTAAAAACCCCCAAACCAAACCAACATTGAAACTTTCCTTCTATTTTCTGCTTTCCTGTATCCCAAATCATGATAGGTGTGATAATAAGTCATAAATATTTGGTCTAATCAAGGACACATCTTGGGGCTGGCTAATCTTTTCCAGAGATCTTGGAGGGCAAGTACTCTCATCATGCTCACTCTGCCACACTCTAGAGTGCCCCTGACTCTTGGAGGAGAGTTCTCCACGAGTCTGATGCCTGGTTTTCACAGCTCATATCCAGGGACACCCTTTGATTGCCTGGCTCCTGTGGATGAAGGGTCTTGCATATCTGGGTCCCACAGGACCATGGCAATCAGAGGACGCTTCCTGGTAGGCTACCATCACCAGGGGACTTCCAACACAGCAGACTGAGGCACATGCCTCAGTCTTTCTGTGAAAAAGATCACTTTGCTCATCCTGGGTCTTTGGACTAAGGGGCAGGCTTCAGGTCTGGCACACATCCAGTGCCCTACAATGTGGCTCTAAAGGAACATAGGCTGGGAACACCACCTTGGCACTTTCCCTCTGCTTTGCTCCAGCTGTCTAATGTCTCCACACAGGAGTTTATACACTCTTCTAGAGCCCCAGTTTTTGCAGCTGACACCCAAGGCACACCTCAGACTCCTTGTCTCTGGTGGCCAGTGAGGGTGAGGCTTACACATGTGGCCCCTCAGGATCATATATATCTGCATGCTTTTAAAGCTGCTGCCTGAGGGTCTGGCTTCTAGGCAGCCTGATTCTCCCCTTTTGGAAACTGACATCCTCAGTTGAGGCACATTCTCAACTACCAGGAGATGTTAAAAATACAACAGCCTGCTTGAACAAGCACAGGAATTTGGGAAACAACCCAATAGCTATGGTAGGGCTCAATGAAAAGTTTCAACTCCTACACAAGGCTACTCTTTCTAGACTGGGAGAGGTGGCAATTTCATCTACTATATAGAAACCAACACAGAAAGTCAAGAAAAATGAAGAAACAGAGGAATGTTCCAAATGAAATAAGAAAAACACCTCAGACTTGACACATCCCCAAAAGCAAGGGAATTAAGAGCAAAAATAAACTACTGGGACCTCATCAAGATTAAAAGCTATTACACGGCAAAGGAAACAATCCATACAACTAATAGGCAACCAACGGAATGGGAAAAGATAGTTACAAATGATGTATCAGACAAAGGGTTAATATCCAAAATCTATAAGGAACTCACCAAACTCCACACCCAAAAAAAAAACAATCCAGTGAAGAATGGGCAGAAGATATGAACAGACACTTCTCCAAAGAGGACATCCAGATGGCCAACAGACACATGAAACGATGCTCAGCATCCCTCCTCATCAGGGAAATATAAATCAAAACCACACTGAGTCAGTGTGTTTTGACTGACTCACGCCAGTCAGAGTGGCTAAAATGAGCAAATCAGAGGACTCTAGATGCTGGCGAGGATGTGGAGAAATGGGCACCCTCCTACACTGTTGGTGGAAATGTAAACTGGTGCAGCCCCTCTGGAAAACAGCACGGAGGGTCCTCAAAAAATTACCAATAGAACTCCCCTATGACCCAGAAATAGTACTGCTAGGAATTTACCCAAGGGATATAGGAATGCTGATGCACAGGAGCACATGTACCCCAATGTTCATAGCAGCACTCTCAACAATAGCCAAAACATGGAAAGAGCCCAAGTGTCCATCAATGGGCGAATGGATCTAGAAGATGTGGTTTATCTATACAATGGAATACTACATGGCAATGAGAAAAAATGAAATCTGGCCATGTGTAAAAACATGGATGGACCTTGAGAGTGTTATGCTGAGTGAAATAAGTCAGGCAGAGGACAAATACCATATGTTTGCACGTATAGGAGGATTAGGAGGAACTTAATGGAGGACCATGAGGGAGAAGAAGGGGGGAAATGATGGGGGAGGGGGAGAGGCAAACCATGAGAGACTTGAATGCTGAGGACTGATGGGTGGGGGGAAGAAGGGGGGAGATGGGTATGGAGGAGGGCACTTGTGGGGATGAGCACTGGGTGTTATATGGAAACCAACTTGACAATAAACTATTTGTAAAAAAAAAAAAAAAAGAAAGAGAGAGAGAGAGAAAGAGAGAAAGAAAGAAAAAGAAAGAAAGAAAGAAAAACACCTCAGAATACCTAAATGAAAAGGAGATAAGCAATATATCTGATAAAGAGTCCAAGGTCATCATCATAAAGATGATCACTG